TTTTTTTCAACATTATTAATATTTTTAAATGTGTAAAATATATTATTTTTATATAATTCTTTAGTATTATTCTGTATATATAAAAGAATATTAAAATAAAATAACAAAAAATTATAAATTTTTACATTTTCTATTTTATTTTGATTTTTATATCTTATTTTAATTCATATTATTGTTCTGTGTATAAAAATATTGAAAATATATGACCCATATATTTCCTGCAAAAAGTTCGAAATTAGAAATGTATTAATATTTATATTTTCCTTATATAAAAATAGATACTAAAACTATATAAAACAGTCATGTAAATAATATTATATATTTATTTAACAAAATTTGTTGTATTCGTTAAACTAATTATATTAAAGGGATGCTGAAGCGACGTTAATTATTACAAATTACAGTACAATAAAAATCTTTGAATTGATTTTGCAAATTAACAAAATTTGTAGAACTAAGATTAAAAGCCTAAAAAAAAAATATATTAGTTTGAATGTAATTTACGTAAATATGTATGCTTAGCAAAGATTTAGAATGATAACAGAGCAATAATTGGATAAGGACAGATGTACGCGTTTGAATGAGACAGAACGATGTAAGAAACAATATAAGATAATTGTGTATATATAAATAATGTAAGAAATAATGTAAGAAATTGAGTTTGGAATTAAGTCTGTCAATTATATCAATTATCAACATCAAGTTCGACCGTCGCTCCAGCATCCCCAAAAAGTTAATTTTTTTGTGTTAATATTTTTTAAATTTTAGTATTATATAACAATAAAAAATAATTTCCAAAATTATAAAAATAAAATAGAACTCTCTAGATAAAAAAAGATAAAAAGTATATTGATTAATGAGCAATAATCAACGCAATTATTCATTCGTAATAATTAACGAATTTATTGTTCTAAACGCTACATATAAATAAGAAGAATCGGACGTTTTGGCTCCATTCGAGCCATCATCACCAATGTCCTATGATAGATTACAATTAATCTGAATAAAATATGTTTAAAAAGTAAAAATTAAAAAATAATTTTCATACATTTCCATTAGAGATATAAAAACAAACAAAAAATACTGATTAAAATAATTTTTTATTCAAGTTTTAAATCACTAGCAAAATATTTTTTTTGTATTATTTTTAAATGCGATCTAGAATAATCTATAATTTTATTCATTACTTTTTCATTATTTTGAAAATATATGCAATACACATAAGGCACGTATACATAAGGCACGTTACCTGTTTTATTTCACCAATGACTTACCTGATCTTGCTTTGATGATTGCTTTCAATTTGTTTAGTTCTTGTGAGAAACGACGTGATGATGAGATAGCCTTTATAGATAAGGATACAGCACCTGCGTATGGCGCGACAGCTCTTTTTTAAATATGTATATGTTGTACGGTGATTCTTCAAGCGGCTTGCGATTAAATTCAGTGTCCATCGAATTCATATCGCGTCCTTTGCTGGCAAACTCGTTGTCTCTGTATACAAAATAAATGAGATCTTTTTCTGAGATTCCGAATTACGTGCACGTCATTTAATCAAATTTAGTCAAATAAATTTTAAAAAGATATATATTTTTTTTAATTTTTGACATAAATTTAGTTTAATCAAAATATTCTTGTGAACAGTCTCATGTTGTGATAGAGTGTCATGAGAAACAATATCTTACGAAATGCATTTATGTATCAAATAATGAGAACTTTTTTAATTGTAAAATTAATTCAAGGAATTAAATTATAAAAATTAAAAAAAAAAAGAAAATTTAAATTAAGATTAAATTTAAAAAATTGATAATTATAAGGGCTATTCGAACCACACTGAATATTATGTACAAACATTATGTACAAAATTTGAATTATAAACTTTATTTAATAAACTTTATCACAACAACGTTTCGACCTTTTTAACATGGTCATCATCAGTGTACGCTTTCAAATATGTCTATCGATCGAGCGAATAAATTAAAAATTAAAATTAATAAAATTACATGAGTGTTAATTAGCCGAAAGAACAAATATTCTTCTTTGTACATTTTACACTATTTCTATAAATATTGCTATAGTCTCATGAGATCGTCAAACTATCCAACTCAAGGATATATGGTTCTTCAACTATCTCTCTTTTATGGGAACATAAATAAATTATATCCTCATTGGTATTATAATGGGAAAATAAGTGTTGAGTAATAAGTAACAACATATGAAAAGAAATTTATATATATATTATATATATAATTTGAACTATAATTATTCAATTTTTAAGTTAGTTGGTTTCATGATTTAAAATATGAGATATTTGCAGGATGTGTCTTAGGTCATCATAACAATGAGATACCAGGCATAAATTATTAAAATATATGAGCGATTTGATAAGTCCATGCAAAGTCTAAAATATGGCACTACCAGTATCGAGATTATTTTTAGTATTTGACAACTCTTGGAGGATTTGAGGTAGATACAAAATCCAAATTTGGAGAATAGGGAGGATGCGAAAGGACTTCGTAAATCGAACAATTTTTTTGTGATCACACTACACGAAATTCTTTTTGATTCATTTTTCGCAAATCACGCTATCTGATCGATTCAAATGAAAGTCAAGCATAGAGTAGTAGATTTATCTCACTGAAATTTGGTATGTAATCCTAAGAGTTGCCAAATACTAAAAATAATCTCGATATGTACTGGTGATGCCATATTTTAGACTTTGCGCGGACTTATCAAACCACCCACATATATTGGACTGTCTTGAGCAAAGGTATGTAAATATAAATACTTTACATAGAGGATAGAAGACCCCGGACGGAGAGACAAACATCCGACAAATTATAGATGTCACTTTATTTATTTATCCTGCTTTTTGTTTGTTTATGTATATCATTTCAGTTATCATTCTGTTCCGATAAGATAACTCATTATTTAGTATTTTTATGTTTTCTCATTTAAATTTATGTTTTTTAATCTGTTATCAGATATTACAGAAAAACAATCGTTCCTTTTTATTAATGTCTATTATATATTCATGGATTCTAAATGTTAGCTGTCCTTTTGATTGACGATCTCATGAATATTAAAATAGCGTGACGTACAAAGAAGAATATTTCTTCTTTTGGCTAATTAATACTTACGTAATATTAATTTTTATTTTTAATTTATTCGCTCGACCAATAGACACATTTGAAAACATATACTAATGACTATGTTAAAAAGGTCAAAACGTTTTTGTTGTGATGAAGTTTAAATAAAGTTTAAATAAAGAAATTAACTAAAGTTTATTATACAAATTTCGCATATAATATCGAATAGCCCTTATAATTATCCATTTTTGAATTTACCAATTACATAAATATATAAAAAATATAAATAAGGACTCTCAATATCTCAATCTTAAAAACAATTAGAAATTTAGAACAAGGCTAAAGAGTCTAACGCTGTTGTAAAAACGAACAGTTAGGAGATGTAGATAATACTCAAGTGTTGGCGATTGTCTTCATTTATTATATCGAACGTTTCAGCTCACTTTGGAATCATCTTCAGCGAAAAAATAGACTTTAATACTACGTTGACAGTAAGTTACAAATTGACAGAAATGCAGTAATCCATACGCTCAACGGGAAAACAACAAAGTTCACAAACATTGATTCACAATTTCCATGAGATATAAATTAACAAAAATTGTTCCTCGAATTAATGTCGTGTCAGTTCATCTTGACGTGTCGTTTTAAATTGATTTAATTCATCCTACCATTTTGTAATTTTCGCAATAGTTAACAAGATATTAATTACTAAAAATTTGCTAAAAATTACTAAAAATTGTCGAATATTGATCTTCAACAATTTTTCTCTTAAATACTATCAACTTTACAGAGGAAAACTGTAAGAGATAAAAATTGTTTATTTTCTTCTCATAAAGTTTTGAGAATTTTTTCAGAATTTTGTAATATCGTATTTTCTCATGTTGGTAAAAGTAAGAAAATGCAGTACTAAAAAGTTGATAAAAAATTCTGAAAAAAAAAATTCATAGAGTTCTTTGAAAAGAAAATAAACATTTTTTATCTCTTTCTTTAAAGTTAATAGTATTTGAGTAAAAAATTATTGAAGACCAATTTTCGATTTTAGCAATTAATTTTAGCAATTAATATCTTGTTAACTATTGCAAAAATTGCAAAATGGTATAAAACTTTTTTGTTCCCTTTGACCCATTTTACGCCTCCAATGCGGCTCCGACCTTACTTAAGAGACACCCTGTATATGTATATGTATATACGGGGTGGCTCCAAATTTTGGTCCCACCCGTCCTGAGCAGGTAGAGCGGATTAAACTACGTCGAAAAGTCCTCTACCATTTTGCAATGCTCGCAATAGTTAACGTTTAAAAATAGCCGAATATGCACATCCGCTCGATCTACTATTGTCAAAGGTACGGCCCACCGATCGCACGGCGTACGAATCGCAAGGAGCAGGGATGGCTTAACAGGCGCGCCGCGCCATTCGTCTTATGGCTCTGGCACACCAACGCGATGTTCGTCGCGCGCGACATGCGATAACCAATGAGTGTACAGCTTTACCGGTGTTTTCATTCTAAAGGTATATTCTCACGGACGGGTAGGGTCAAAATTTGGTCACCTTGTATATATAAGATCACACGTGCCAAGTTTAATTTCATATAGCAATAATATTACGACACAGCGTAACGTTGGCAAGTACATTTGCTTCACATTTATATAATTTATTTATTCCATGCATTCTAACATATTTTCAAACACCCAGAAGAACGGAAATTGAATCCGTTATGAATAATAATTGTAATTAGTAAAGAGCAAACGATCCGGGTTCGAGACTCCTATATTATTTAACATTATCGTTTCGAAAATGCGAATAAGCATCAAAAACTGATGTTGAATATATATATATATAACATACTAAAACCTGTAAATAATTCATTCTTATTGCGAAAAATATTACCTTGACCGGGAGTCGAACCCGTAACTTTTACACTTTATGCGAGCGTCCTAAGTCTTTTGGGAAATTAAGGAAAATTAAGGAAACGTCCTAAATCTTTTGGGTTTCTAAGGAAACGAGCAATGGAGGTTTTGACAAAAAAAAATCGTCATGATAAGAATGACAAAAAATGCAATGGATGCTATATTTTCCGATCCTCGATCTCCTCATGTTCGACGTCGCGTTACGTGCGGATAATTGCCGGCGACTTACTGAACTGACGTGCGTGAGTTCACAATGCGACTTGAATTTATGTAACCGTTGCGGCTTGAACATCGCAATGGCGGACACATCGTAAAAGCGATCACGATTCAAAAACAAAATCGGAAGAAAACAAAGTTGTATTAGCGTTTCAATACACTGCGGTTTCTGTTTATTAACATCTAATGATAATTACTGAAAAAGAATATAGAGTTAAAAAAAGTTCATCAGTCACAGATTAAAAAAAATCAAAGCTCTTATTTTTGAAAACATTCAACAAATTTAAACTTTTTCCTTTTTAGAGATCGGCTCTTATAGGCATTATAATTCTTTGATTTATTCTTTGGAGCCTGTCAATTCTTTCTATTGTACTTTTTCTTTTTAAACAAGAAATTTCTTTTATTCCTTTATTTTATAAAGTAAAAAATATACATAAGAATAATCAGAATTTATTCTGTGTATATAAATATACATAAAAAAAACTAAAATATACATATATATATATATATATATATATAAGAATAATCATTCAGATATTAAGAAATAAAACCTTTACAAATAAATGTATTATTTTAATATTAAATATTGCTAAAATAAAATTTATTATTTTAATAAATCACTTAAAATTACTATCACTTAATACATACAAAACAAGGGCTTCATATCATTATATTTATGTCTGTTTATTGTAAAAAAATATTTAAATTTCTTACAGATATACATATATTACAAATTTGGGTTTTATATACATGCATATATGTACGTATGTGTATATATACAATACACACACATACACGCACGCGCGCGCGCGCACACACACACACAATCTGTAGCAATAAAAATTTTACTGCTAACAAAAGTGAGTAGCAAAGTCATTGCTTTAAGTATGGATTTTCACTGCTTTGAAGTTAGTCTGTCTCTTACATAAAGAAGTGGACTATTTCATTCGATTAAGTGGTTTAAGCATTATGACCGCAGCACAGACTTTTGCATAACACATAATGCATAGTGCAAAATCAAGAGAATCAATCAATCGAAATTCTTCTTTTCCATGGATAGGAAGAAAAGAAAGATTCTGATTAGTTGATTCGCTTATGCACTATGCGTTATGCGTCATGCAAAAGTCTGTGCTGCGGCCTTTAGTTGATAATGCATTGCAAGATGCATTGAATGTTAGTGCAAGGAGTGCATTTAGCGACATAGCGCACCGTTTGTCGCATGTTGATCGTTACGGGCGAGACGCATCTTGAGAGAGTGAGAGGAGGGGGGGGGATATGACAT